GCAGAATGGTCTGACAAACACACAATGGGACTGGTAAGGAGTAGCATAGGAAGGAGTCTGGACTTGCAATGCCAGGAAAGGAAAAGTCCCTGTTAGGTTCTTCAATAAAACAATGACAGAGGAGAAAAGGTTCCAGGGTAAAAGAGCCTAAAATAGGAAAATTAATCAGGTAAACTGCAGTAGTGTAGCTTGTGAACCAATGACCTTTAAAAAAAAAGGCTGGAATATTAAATAAAAGGAATTTAATTAGAAGACTCAACATCTTTACGTACAAATGCCATAAGAAGGCCCCAGATGTTCGTCTTGCTCCCTCCCTACATTGACAACCCCTACATTGCCATGTCATGTTTCTTCTCCTTCCTTCCTACTAGAAATTAGTTCTTTGCTGTCATAATTTCTGGTGGCTCTACTTTTCATTATCATTTATATAACTTAAATGGGTAATTTTCCATCCCTCCTTTTGGAGCTTCTAATCTAAAACTATTTTTGCTTCTCTCCTTTTCTTTTTTTGTCTGCTTTTTCATCTTTGCGTTTTATTCTCTTTTTCCTATCTCTTCTTGCATGCTTGGAACATATAATCATAGACTGGTAGAGCTGCAAAGGGCCTCAGAGATCTGCTTGACCAGGCTTCCCATTTTACAGAAGAAAAACCAAGTCCTGAGAGGTAAAATGACCTCTTGGTTTGGAGTTTAGGCTTGGCTCTGACAACCACTGTTGCTATTTTTTAAAATAAATTTTCAGAACTGACAGGAAAAAACCATACCATTTTTTAAACTTTAAAAAATATAATTAAAAAAACCCCATTATCTTGATTATAAAGATGATAAAATTAAAATATAATTTTAAAATGCACAAATAAAAACTACATGATAATTATAATGCCTTTCCCTTCCTCATTTTCTGTTATTGGAGACTTTAATGTTTCTCAAACAGCATTCTTTGAGAAGCAAGGGAAACAACTCTCTTTGAAGAAAGTTCCAGCTTTATTAAAAAGCTATGGGATATTATGCAGGTAATAACACCACCACATTTCCTTTATAAATGAACAAATAAGAAACAGCAATTCCTGAAATATACCTACAGGAGTATATATTAAAAACAAAATCTGCCTACCTGAAATCCTTAAACTTATTCTTTTCCCACCTTTCTGTTTCCTGTCTTTGTCTCTGCTAGTGTTTTCAAAGTATAGGATGAAACTAAAGTGAAAGTGGAAAGGGGGGAATGAGTTACAATGCTTTGAGTAACCAGTTATACTCAGCTTTTAAAACATATCATATTTTTAATAGTTATTGTGAAATAAGAAATGTTCTGCTAGTTTGTGTCTTATTTTAGGCATAGAGTGCTTAAATCACAAGTAAATAAATACAAGCCTTAGATTTCCTCAGACAACAATAAGGACCTACCAGAGAGGGTTGATGCCGATGATGCTCTGCTTATCTGTTTTGGTAGGAGCTGCGAAAGTCACAGCTAGAGTGTATTCCTCCCTATTCCACTCAAGTGGAGCATTATTTAAAGTTATGACATTTTAAATCATTATTTTGAAAAACCTGTATCTCAGTGATAATGATGAATATGCCACTTCTAGAAATGGAAAATGATGGAACAAAAACCAACATTAAAAGTAAGGGAAAATAGAATTTGAAACTAGGCTGATCAAACTGGCTGGCTGGGGGATTATGTTATTGGTGTATGAATAGTCTTGCCAGTATTTCACTTTCCTTGTCGGCTGCCTTTATTTAGTCAACCTTAGTTCATGGCCAAAAACCAGTTCACTAGTCATATAAGGATAAGATCACTGTATAATAATGGATATGAGAAATGTCAGTACTGTATGCCAAACAAATTAAAACTTTTTTTTTTCTTTTTTGCGGTACGCGGGCCTCTCACTGTTGTGGCCTCTCCCGTTGCGGAGCACAGGCTCCGGACGCGCAGGCTCAGCGGCCATGGCTCACGGGCTCAGCCACTCTGCGGCTTGTGGGATCTTCCCGGACCGGGGCACGAACCCGTGTCCCCTGCATCGGTAGGCGGACTCTCAACCATTGTGCCACCAGGGAAGCCCATAACTTTTGATATATACAACTTTCACTGGATGTATAAACTTTGCATGTTATAACAAGCATATGTAAGTTAGTGAAGAACACCCACATATAATTACACACTAAATGTGTGTACATACATTTTCTAATTTAAAATGCAGGATTTACATAAAGGCCCAAAGAATAAACCTCAGCCCAATCAAATAATTATAGGGACGTCCTTTCCATGCTGGCCTTACAATGCCTAATTTCTTTTTTCCATACCATTTCAGACCCCTCCTGCTCTCTGGATCCTTTAACCACCAACACAGATGCTATTTCCTACTTTAATGCCAATGCAAGGCAGAAAAACTTAGGTAGCAGGTTGGGTGGTTAGACAGGGAAAGAAAAGAGTGTAAATATTTTGGAAAAATGTCCCTTTCACTCTTGGGCTACATGTAGTCTTTAGTATCTAAGCCTCTCTCCCCCAACTCCTTTTGAAGCCCTCTCATTTGCCCCATTAAGAGTCCTTGCCTTAGCTACTATATTCAAATAACTAAGAAAGCTGTTCTTTGTTAAGGATGCCTATATGTAAACTTAGATTTTTTTTTCCTTCTGAAATGCAGATGAATTACACGCTAATTATGTGTGGAGGTATTTATGTGTCCCTTAAGTAAAACAAAAACAAAAACAAAACAAAACCTACATTACTCACTTAAGACTTCTGGACATTTTGTTCTTTTTCCTGTATCTATTACTTTACCTTTTATCTGGGTTCCCCACTGTTAGCAGTTATAACTTCAAAGAACTGTGTGCTTGCTTCTGAGATACGTGGGCAAAAGCAGCTCCTCTAAGTAAGAAGTAGGAGAGGCAAGAAAAGCCATCTCAGAAGTATCTGGCAAACTGATCTGTTACTGTGCTTTATCATGACCTTCTCTCCTGATATCTTACATTTCTATCCACTTCTCTAATTGTGTTTCTTTCTTCACTTCTTCCTCTAGCCTTTTAAATACAGGTGTTTATCAGGATGTTTACCTGACCATCTTCTCTCTCTTTCAAAACTATCTTCTTACCTGAGGGTTTGTCTAATCTCCTAACTTGAATTTTCATCTGTATTTTGCATATTTCTTGTCTTTTTATTTCCAAGAGTCTTGTGGTGATTTATTTTTGTATGCTATACCTGCACCTCACACTTTAAAATTTAAGTCTAAACATATTATTTTCCCTCAGGTCAACGACAACCCACTTTGTACGAAGTTCCACAGTAATCACTAACTAGTTCTTTTGCCAAATGACTTGTAGTTCTTTCCTACCCCAGTTCATTCTATAGAGTCTTATCATACCAAGCACCCCAAAGTATAATTCTTTATTCAATAAATATAATAAATATAAATCCCCTAATTGAAGACGCCAGGCCTTTCATCATCTGTCTGATCTGGCTTATGACTTACTTTTCTAATCTGGTCTCATTACTCTCCTTCAGCCACCTGGTACTTGCCAGAACCCTACTACCTATCTACAGCTTTCCATAACGTCATGCTTAAATCACCTCTATGTCCTCTGTATGCCCTGTTTAGTATAAAGCCCCATACTAGTAAAACAGGAAAAAAATCCAGATCAGTAGGAACAGGAGACAGGAGTAGAAAGGGAGCTAAACAGTGGATCCACAGGGCCTCTAAAATGCAAAAAAGTGAGAAGCATTTGTGGTTTTCACACTTCAGGCCTCAGTTTTCTCTTATGTTTCTCTATTTCAAGAAAAGTTAACAGCAGTGGCTCTCAATGGGCATTGATTGCCCCATACCCTCGCGGGTGTTTGGAAATATCTGTTGGTGGTTTCTAGTCATCTGACTGGAGAATGCTGTGTGGGCAAGAGACAGGATGCTTGATGTTTTGAAAGAAAAGGGACAGTCACACACAATAAAAAGTGTCCCTCATTCGGCACAACTTTGACATGTCCTGCACATCTCTGCCAACTCAAAAACTCAGCTTATGATCATCAGGTCTCGAGCTTAACTACATTTTACATATAAACAAAGCATTTATTGCATAGTTTTGATGTACTGTTTTACGAACATGTAAAATATCTCATAGACAGATTGTACTTTGTTTTGTTTGGAATGATACACTGAGCTGCTCACCATTTTGAAAAAATCATTTCATAGAAAGCAATGTTCTTCATAGATCTCAAATCACTAATATGACACGCCTCTATCAGTCTCATTTGTAATTCTCTTTTCTCCTCCCTTCCTCCCTCCCTCCTTCCCTCCCTCCCTTCCTTCCTCTCTCTCTCTCTTTTGTTCTCTTTCTAGATTAATATCTCCCCTCTCAGAAAACAAAATTTCCACGTCAATGGTAAAGCCTGCTAGAGTGAAAACAACACTGAACTCACAGCAACAAGTTTGTCACTTAGCCTCAGTCTGCTCATATATAAAATGAATATGTGCTCTACTTATCTTAGAGTGGTTATAAGAAACAAACTGATAAAATGGATAGGAAGTATCTTGTAAAGTATCAAGTCCTATATGTATTTTACAATAGAGACAAATCTTTAACAATAATATTTCTGGCTAGAAACAAAATAGGAAAAAAACAGTACTAAAAAGTCTCTGCCTCCAGTAATGTTTACCAAATAACAGTACAGAAATTTAACAGCATCCAGGATCAGTAATATTTAAACACTTAATAAAATCAAACTCTGAACCTGGGGTTCAGAGACCAATACAGTAGCTATGTACTCACTAAAGTATAAAATACATGCTGGACTTAAAGAACTTACTACAAAAAATAACATTTATCGTTAAAAATAATTCCATCTTTTGTTTTCACTTTTTAAAATGTGGCTAGTAGACAATTTAAAATTACACATTTTGCTTATACTACATTTCTGATGGACATGCTGCTGTAAATAAACAATGCAATAATAAAACTAATAAAATCAACAAAACTGATCTCCAGCTAATAAGACAATAAAGAATGTACACTCACTTCATCAGTGAGTTCTCCAAACACTGTTATGACATCTATTAAAAGACTTGCAGTATAGAAGGACTTGATCATGTTTCTGGAAGAGAAAAGACAAGTTCATATAATTCAAATGAAAAATGTAAGAATTAGTCTTGTAGCTACAAGACAAAAACTTCGAATGTTTATAAAAGCACTCTGAAATTAATGTTTTAAATAAAATCAGATTTCAAGAACATAATGGAGCTCCTTCTGTAATCTGTTATTAGGAGCAAGTTACAACACATATAACAGGTGAATATGCTACAAGGTTTCATAGTATGTGTTTGATTTTAGAAAATGTAATGACAGTACTATCTGAATCCATATCAAGCCATGTGTATTTCTTTGTATTTAAGTCTTATTATAATAATGACAAATCAGTTGAATCGGTAGGGGTGGGAATTTTTAAAATCAGTAGCTGTTTTTGGCTAAAATCAACACAGATCTTACTAAATGGCTAGTTAGGGTATATTTACTAAGAAAATGAATCTGCCCTGGGTACTCTTCGTTTAGCCATTTTCTCTAAGAAGCCAGGATCACTCTTGTAACCCAAACTCATTCTGAGATTCAAAAAAAAAATCTAAATCGTTAACCAGGTAGTCTGAGAGTAGTCAAGAGAAAATTGGATAAATTCTGGTTATACAGTAACTAAACTTATAATTTTAATTTTATCTATCTTTACTTACTTGTGAAATCGCCCAGCACGATCTTCATTATCTGCATACAAAAACATTTTCAAAGCATAATTCTCCAAATGGGCAGAACCAACTATTTCTTGAGTAACAGCTTCATTATCACCCAACTGTTTCTTAAGCTAAAATAAAATGAGATACAGAACTTATGATTCTGGGCTCACAGAAGTATATACTTAAGTATAAGAATTCCCAATAATCAAATCCAACGTTCACAAAATTTTGAAGAAAGACACTCATGATAACGTGAAAGTATAATTTAGCTCTAAATATCAAAATAATCAAGAATAAAAAACATCCAACTATGTAAAGTATCAGACAAATATTTCAAATGTACTAACAAGTATCCTAAAAATGGGATTAAGAAATTCTTTCCTAACCATACATAATTTAAATCTTTAATTTATTCCTATTTCAATTTCTTCTATCAAATATAGAAAAATACAATGAGAAGGATCATTATATCCTAAAAAAGTATCTCTCAGAGCACATTGCATTAGAGATCTAATTCTAAGTAAGGTATAAGAAAACAAATTTAGAATAGGATTACGGAAGTTTTAAAAATTTAGACAAATATATACCTCAAATCAACACAATTTACAACCATGTAAATTTCCAGTCAGTACATCCCTTTCCTACACATACAATAATTTAAAGTATTTTAAAAACAACAAACTAAATTCCTACATTTTACTCAGACTGTCATACTGGAGTAAAATGACCTCCTGGAATATTAGATCTGAGTACCACACTACTGTTTAAAAATTGCTTTTTTCAAAGAACACTATAAAATAACAAATTAAATTTAGAAAAAGCAAGAGGATTTTTCATAAAATCAGCAAAGTACATATTCTCATAATTAAGGCCCAGAAGAGTTTGAATACTGGAATTTAAGGACATCTGGGCATGCTTATCCTGAACAAAAACAGAAAAAAAGTCCCACATATAACACCGGTTTACTGTATCCACACTGTGAAATGATTTAATTGTAGAGGCAATTTATTTCTAGAAAATTTTAGTGGGAGCATGTCATTTCATCTCACCTTCAGCAAAAAATATCTGGCAGCAAAGACATAATATACTTGAAGTGTTCCAATTATAAATATAAACATTACAGCACAAGCAGATATGTTCTCACCATGGAATGAACTTGTTATTTAATGTAGATAATAATAAATTCCTGGTAAGTCTCTTTATAAATGTGATTTTACATTTTGCATATTATAAAGAACTGTTTGAGTTTTGTCTTATCCATAAGCTATTGTTATTTTAGCTATTATTGTTAAGCTGTAAAATTAATAAAGAGATATATTCTATATAAAATGTCTGTAAGAGACGGTATTGTACAAATGTATTGCTACAAGTCAGACACATTCTTCCTCCCACTTCCTAACCCCACCCTCCAAAAGAAGAGTACTCAAATTCTTCCTGCATCCACAGAAGCAGTATAAGAAGTAGAAGGCCAGACAGGCTCCAAGGGCAGCTGAGTTGTCATCAGTGGTGCCACCAGGCTACCTTGGATGGTTAATAGTAGCAGATGACAGGATTCTGGGTCAGAAGGCCAGGCACGCATACAAAGTTAGAGAGAACACTATTGCCCATGGCTGCTTAATACAAGTAGGCTTTGATCTGAGTAACTTTCAACATTTAAAAAAAGTTCTGGGCTGACTGGTATAAGTGTATTGATTTTTAATATGTCTGAATTTTGTTTCTCTAAACAAAATAATGCAACTGATCAAATAAATATTTAGGTTTCTAATTCTCTTGAGCAGGTCACATAACTAAATAAGCAAATAAAAAGTAAGCCACAGCTATGAATATAACTGCCTTGGAGGAGATGCATTAATGAGAAGTAAACCTTGACACTGTTAAAAAAGAAAATGAAATGGCTGGGCATGGGAGGCACAGGGTGGAGCCCTGCTTACTAAGTAAGGTTACTATGGTTTAATAATGCCTTCCTGATGCACTGACACCCAATCAAATCCTTCAATTTTCCCTGGATTCGTGCTTCTACATAACCTGTGAAGTTCTATCACAGTTCAAGATGACTTATTGGTCACCTACCACATTTCTGCTAGCACAGGAAAATGCCTAGACCAAAAGAGTACCTTGTTAGGGGACCAAGAGTAGGAGGAAGAAACAATAGGCAACTTCCTTCATGGTCCTTTTCACTAAATAAATAGCCCGTTTCTTTTTTTTTTTTTTTTTTTTTTTTTTTGCCCGTGCCTCACAGCATGTGGGATCGCAGTTCCCCAACCAGGGATCGAACACGCACCCCCTGCAGTGCAAGTGCGAAGTCTTAACCACTGGAACACCAAGGAAGTCCCCGATTTCATTATTACAAGAGCCATTTAAGAATTCCCAAATCAATCATCGGTGTGACTGCATGAAGGAAGGTTAGAAAGGGTTTGTCACTTACGAAAGAATGACTCAAAGGTCATCTACAATAACCTGGAACAAGACATAATGTATATGTAAAGATATTGAAACCGACTTATACCTACTTACAACTCCCTGAGCAGTATGATGTAAATGAAAAAAAAAATGTGTCTCATTTTTCTTCAGCTATGACATTGCTGATCGCTGCCAACAGGAAGAACTAAAATAACCACACACACACAAATGAAATAAAACGGCATTTTAAACATTAATCAGAAAATAAATTTTCAGTGTTCAACTTACAGCTTCTAACTGATCCATTAGCTTTGATAAAAATTTACGACATTCAGGAGTTTTACTATCAATCTTCATTCCCGTTTGCATCGCATACAAACGACCTACAAAGAAAAATACGATTTGAACAATTTCCAGGACTGAATGTTTAAAATATGTTTTGTCTAGTTAATAATTCAAATTTTAAGTGAATTTAGAAATAAAATAAAACTTTGATTTACTATGGCTCTTATCCACAAATATAAAGAACACAAAAATATTATCCAAAGAATGCAAGATGAATGATGATGATAAGTTTTTATGAAGTAAGGCCTTCTCTTTTGGCATTATGTTTAAAAAATAAAAGGACTAGGTCCTAAGCTGTCAAAGGGACCTGCAATTTAATAGGTAAGTGAGGGCATTCAGAAAAACAACCAAGTGTACAAGAGCACTTGCCAAGTAAGAGCACTTGCCAATTACTTGATAAGTAATACTGATAAAATACACAATATGGGCTGGGACAATGGGAAATGCCACTCGAGCTGAAGCTAACAGGGAGAATTTTTTTGGTGATTTTTATATATACAAATAAAAATAAGTATACCATCTCTTTAAAAAAATAGAAATATCAGAGATAAGGCTGAAGCTAAATACCTTTCTGCTACCACAATCCTAAATAGCTTTCCCAGTGATAAGAGCTGTAAAGTTTGGCAGTAATTGTTGTTACCACTGGTATGTACACATACTGCCTATAATTTACCTCTTACATTCAACAATATGCTCAGGAGATCTGCGGAGCACTACAGTGCTCCACACTATGGCCACAACAAACTAAAGCACATTTGGGTAGTTCTCAGATTTTCATCATTACAAACCATGTTGCGCTACCAGACCTTCTTGAGCACACATTCAAGAGTTCCCTGAGGGAGATACCAAGAATGAGAATTGCTGGCTCATAGTATATGTAGTACCTTTCTCACTTTAAGAGCTACTCTTAAAACTGTCTTCCAAAACGAATTACCACTATGCAGTTATATCTATAACACATCCAAGCACCCATTTTTCCTAAACTCACAAAAAATTGATATTAAATTAAAAATTGATATTAAACTTATCAATCTCAGAACTGTGTTATCTCACTGTTTGATTTTGCATTTTCACTATTCAAAGGTATTAGAGATTTACTGGATAGCTCTATATCCTCCTTTATGAATTAGCAATAGCTATCAAAATAAAAGGAAAAAATCTGCCAAATTTTCTGTTGGGTTGTTTGCTTTTTAACAAATTGCCGTGTGGCGGTTCTTTATACAGTAGAAAGGAGGAAGATCATGTTTCCCCCACCAAATGGAATCTTGTGAACACTACCCCCCTTCCCTGCTTTATTTTCTCCTCAGCAGGTAATCATCTTCAATTTTTTTATCCTCTGACTCTACTACAACTCCAACTTAAGCTCCATGAAAATGGTGATTATAGTCTACTCGGTTTGATGTATCCCTGGCATCTGGGATAGTGCCTGGCCTTCGATAAACATTTTCTGACTAGATAAATACATGAATGAAAGAATAGCGCATTCTGCCCCACTGATTTAAATGCCACTTTTATCATTCATTAGCATATATTAAGTTTTCATGGGATAAAAGGGCCTAATTCTTTATATTGTCTATCTTGCTTTGTTATTTGTTAGTCTACTGGTCTATCATTGCTTTATTTACTGCAGCTTTAGAACATGGCTTGGTATGTTAGCTACTCTCAGGATTTCCAATTCAATTATGTCAACCCAATCATATCTTCTTTAAAGATGTATTAATATACAAACAATACAGTTATATATTCTGCATTTATTTTTAATTTCAATAGCTGTATCTGAGGGAACTACTTTTGAAGGCTTAGGCTTTTAGAGCTATCTCATGTTATAGAGCTTTAAGCTTAATTAATTAACGCATTTATTTCTATATCAAATTTAAGGGTTTGATCCATCTAGGTATTAATGAGAGGAAAAAAATGGAGTTCTAAAAGTACTGTATAGATTTACACTGACTTACAGTAAGTGTAAAAAGCATGATGCTTTCATTTTCACTGCACAGTAACCAGCACTGGATATCACTGTGACAAAAAAAAAATTCTGAGAAGCAAAAAAAGCACTTATTATCCATTGCTTTAATCACAAGTGTGACTAAATTTTGCCTTTTTCTCTTTCTTTTAACCAGTCATATTTAACAACATGTCCAGGTGGTTTACCCATTTGAGTACCAGGTTCTAATCACCTCTCCCCACTCCACACCTTTTAAAGCATGGATGAACACCCTCTCCTCTTCAAACCAGTCATATCTCTTGAGCTGTTCAAGCTCTGTACCTGTTTTAGTCAGCTTTTGTTGTTATAATTGTGACTTGAACTCCCCAACACCTCCTCTCTGTGAATTGTTCTGGTCTTTCAGCATTTTTGTTGCATTTTTTTTTTTTAATTAAAAGTGCAGCACATGAGCTCTTTGGAAAATAAACATATTGGCTGCAAATATTGTGCCATCTTCCAATTTTTGAATATTGTTTTAAAACACAGAAGCTTAAAATATTTATGTACCCAAAGCGATTTTCCCCCCAATCAATTCTAAGCTTGGAAAGCTCTTTTATCTCTAAGAAACTGGATATTCAGTTATGATTTTTCCAGTTAAATTCCTTTTTGAATTTAACTTTTAATAACATGCCTCCACCTCAGTTACTGGCATCTGTCTCAAATACACTCAATAAATAATCCTTTCTTTCTCTAATGATTTGTGGTTCCTTAATATGTTTTTGCTTTTTATATGTCTTGGCTATTTGATTTCACTGAGATCACAGATTAAATGTCATCTCACATGATAATACCTAGAACTGATAATATGCTTTTTCTTCCTCCAAATTTAATCTTACTATGTCTTACAGTATTACAATTTTTTTTCTGAAGAATTTTAAGTGTTCTTGCTCTTATTTTTAAGGGGAAGGCTTTTAGTTGAGTGTAGGGATCAATTCTGTGCTAGGTTGCTCCTATTTCCCCTAATAGTCCCCACCCTAAGCTATACTGAGGCTGCAGCCTTTGAGACCTACAAGATCCCAGGGATTGGCAGGAGTGTGGGGAAGAAGATATCAGCATTTCTATTGATACATCTATCTCATTCTTTATAAGTTCCTATTTTTACATATCTTTTATAACACATAGTATTTTTATAATACATATATTAGTACATCAATACAGAAAAGTTATTTATAAATAATTATATAATATTGGAGATTTGTGTTTAATTATTTTTAACTCGTGGGTAGATGGGCAAAAGGTTAAGAATCACTGCTCACTGCATCCTTACTCTTCTCAACTGTAAACTGTATTTTCTCCACACAGCCCTGTTCCTTCTACCATATTCCCTGGAACTACTGTTTCAGGATCAGCAAAATCCCCTATCTCTCCTCAGATTCCTTCTTCCTCTTTGTCTTAATTAAAACCTGAATGTCACTTGAAGAAATAATTTTATTTGCAGTCCTCTCAAGTAATGAGTTTTAATTCTCTTACATTCCTTCTAGTGTGTTAAGAGAATTGAAAAAGAGAATTGGCAGGTATGATTGGTTTTCTCTTTGCATCCCACTATTACACTATTCTCTCAATGTTTTCTAAATACGCTGGTCTAGGGCTCATCCACTCTCTTCCATTGGATTGTTATGCTTGTAATTGCCCATGGACCTCAGGGTCTTTCCTTGTCTTTCCACCATCTTGAAAATTTCGCTGTTCACATGGATAATCAATACTTCTGGCAAAGACTGCTAGCTGTCTACCTGCATCCTTTCTCCCCGTGTTCTTTACAAACTAGATCCCTACACATTATTAGGGAGTTGTAATGTAGCTAGCCAAAACAGTATATTTCCCAGTATTCCTCAAAGTAAAATATGGCCATGTTATTACCTAAGACAAATATCATATAACCAGAAATTGTTGGGAGAGACTTCTGGACCTTAAAAGGGGGAATGACAGCAGGGGAAAGACCTTTCTAACTCCTTCCCCTTTCTCCTCCCGCTGCCAAGAATAGAAATGGGATGACTGAAACTCTAGCAGATATCTTGGACCACAAGGCGACCTTGGTAATCGTGCTAGTTTGTAGACTTGAAATTAGAAAGAGCTTGAGTCCCTGATGACTTCATGGAATTGGCACACTGGCACTGGGTACTGCCAACATCAGACTTTCCTTTAAATGAGGGAATAAATCCTTATTTTACTTAGCAATTGTAATTCTGAATTTTCTGTGATGAAAAAGCAAATCTATTTCTTATGCATACAGTGCTGTGTTCTCAATTCTTATCAACAATGATCTCCAATAACTGTATATACTCTCCTTTACATGGCAGTCACCCCATAACTAAATTACCATCTCAAACTGCTGTAGTGTCAATATCAGTATATCAAGCACTCACTCTAAGCATGATTCCTTTTCTTCCAATTTTAAACTCCGCTTGTTACAACAGGCTTCCAGTTCACTGGTGTTGCCCTACTTCTTCATTACAACCAGTCTTTTCTCCTTTAACTTCCCTCTGCAACCAGCTTTGATTTTATGATAGATTTTTCTTGAACTTTATTGTCCTATCTCCTATCCCTGAATCTTTCTATTACATTCCTCTGGCAAAAGCACACTCATATATAAGCCCAACTATCCTCTCTCCCTATGCCTACATACTAGCAACAGAGACCACTGGCAGATCAGCATCACTATAAATACCATAATTATCAACCTCAAATGAGCTTAATACCTTTTTTTATAATTGAATATTTCAGTATTATTTCCATCACTATAAACTGAGCACAAGCTACATTTGTTTAAACATCCATATTTTTATGGTGTGCCAACATTTTGCATCCTATGTGAAACATTTCGTTTGAAAATATTAAAGTTCTCTATTTTGTTTACCATCTTCTCTCCTGTTTTCTCCATTCTCTGAAGACATTTTATATTAATTGTGTAAGACGGATTTCCTTATCTTCCCAACCTCTCAAATGACTTTTTCAAACATCTTTCAAAAAAAACCTCACCCAAACACACACACAGAAAATTTAGTAGACATTAATTACTCGCTATCTATATATATATTAGTCAACACAATAACACAA